TTTTTCCTGACATATAAAAACTATTACCGTCAGCTGTAGTTAGCTGCTACGAAAGTTTGACAATTTGCAGTTTAAGCATTCATAAGCAAGACCTTCAAGGAAAAAAAATGAATTTTGAGAGCTCTATAAGTATCTTTTCTTAACCTCTCCTCCATATGCAGAATTCCCGCCATTGAATGGGATTCAGAAGAAGAGATACAGAAAAAAGAAAAGGAGTACTTGTGGCACCTTAGAGATTAACCAATTTATTTGAGCATAAGCTTTCGTGAGCTACATCTGATGAAGTGAGCTGTAGCTCACGAAAGCTTATGCTCAAATAAATTGGTTAGTCTCTAAGGTGCCACAAGTACTCCTTTTCTTTTTGCAAATACAGACTAACACGGCTGTTACTCTGAAACCTGTCATTATACAGAAAAAAGGAATTCACTGGTATTTAAATGTTTATTAATGTGATCTAATCTAATGTGATCACAGAACAATCCCTGAGTTATCAATGTAATTGATGCCTCCTGTTTGAGTTGTGTTGGTTAGTTGTGATTGTGCAGATATGTCACATGGGATTTTCTCTGGTCCCCAGTTGGATGAATGTGCATGCAATTCTGGACAAGTGCAACATTCAGTTTCCACAAATAGTCAGACCTACCACACTGATGCTAGCTTTTCACAAACATTTGCACCAGTAAAACTTTATCTCTCTAATGGCTGACAGAAAGAGAATGCAAAATGCGCTCAAAAATGGCCAGGGTAAATTCATTTTGGAATCTAATTATCTTGGTCAGGTGTTTTTTCACCATTTTACCAACTCTACCTGTAAAAAAATTCCTAAGATGAGGTTTCTCATCCTGAGAAGGATCTCTTTGCATAATAGGTTTATGCATAAAGCAACCTTTTACACCTATATTCGGTTGGTGTATACAAGAGGCATAGATGCCACCTTAATGAGCATATTGCCACCTCTGAACAGATTGGCATGAATATGGACTGTCCAGACATACTTCCAAGTGTAATTTTCAAGTACAACAGGCCACTACCATTCTCTGAATACAGAACCATTTCAGTTTCTGCAGACTTTGCATCTGCAGCTATGGGTGAGTGGATACAGCATGTTATGGCTGAGCAGATACAATGTGCTATCATTTAAACAGATCATTGCTGGATTAACTTTGAAATTAGGGGGGGAAATATAATTGATTCATTTCAACTGGCCAGTGACTGTGAAATCGTACTTGGGTCTGGTAGTCAGAATTAGTGTTCCCTTGAGAAGGTAGGTAGAAAGAGAAGAATAATAGAATAATAGTGAATTCTCCAACTTATGCTTCAGAAAACCTTCATAGACGTTAGAAAAAGTGTTTCTGTAGTCTCACTGGCTCAGCACTTCCCAAGTTCAGCACGACCACATAAACATTTTGGGGAGCTGAACACTGGGCTACTTTATTGACTGACTAAACAGTGTTGTGCTTTTCATTTGTAGAGCTCTGAACACACCCTCTCTGCACTCAGCAAATAATAAATGGATCCGAAAAGAATGCAAAGTTCTCTACCTGAAAGGTAGAAATTTAAAGAAATTTGTCATTGAAAGAACACCTTGTCTCTATTGATTACTTTCTAGCTATTCAGACACATTATATCAGTATTAAATAAACTCCTTATTTGTTAAATAAGAGCTTTCATCTTTTTGGCTTACGGAAGAGGAAAAACAAAGTCAAAACTGCCTAAAGAAATGAAACTAAAATGAATAATAGGCCTGGACTTGATTTGATCTGTCAGATTGGGCCCATTTATGGAATGTTGTACTATTAGATAGTCATTTGCTGGATATTCTTTGTATATTTCTGCCAATTTAATAAACCAGAAAAGGAAAAGCAAAAATTCCCTTATCCCTCCATTAGTACCTATTATAAAATATATGTATTCATACAGCATTGTATTTTTAAGGCACTTTTCTTCTGAAAACACTTCACAAGCAGTATTTATTTAACATCTGTAATACAGAGGTAAGTATTGTAAAGTTGGGTAAACTAAGATACAGAGGTCTGAAGTGACTTGGTCAAGTTTGCACACTGCATCAGTGATGAAGCAGAGTGGATGGCACCCAGGAGCAACTTAAAACCCTCAAAACACTGTGACATTTAAAAATTGACACTTGGCTATCAGATTCAAAACTAAGCTCTGCATAGAACCTTAAATATGAAATCAGTGGGGGATGCCTTCACAAGCTAATTAAGGCAATCAGGGCCCTACGACTCCCTCACATGAGAATTCCTCCTATGGCTCTTCCCCTGCATCATGGCCCACCCATCTTTGGGTATGTCTACACTGCGGAATAAGGTCGAATTTATAGAAGTCGTTTTTTTAGAAATCGGTTTTATATATTCGAGTGTGTGTGTCCCCACAGAAAATGCTCTAAGTGCATTAAGTGCATTAACTCGGCGGAGCGCTTCCACAGTACCGAGGCTAGAGTCGACTTCCGGAGCGTTGCACTGTGGGTAGCTATCCCACAGTTCCCGCAGTCTCCGCTGCCCATTGGAATTCTGGGTTGAGATCCCAATGTCTGATGGGGCTAAAACATTGTCGCGGGTGGTTCTGGGTACATATCCTCAGGCCCCCGTTCCCTCCCTCCCTCCGTGAAAGCAAGGGCAGACAATCATTTCACGCCTTTTTTCCTGAGTTACCTGTGCAGACGCCATACCACTGCAAGCATGGAGCCCGCTCAGGTAACCGTCACCCTATGTCTCCTGGGTGCTGGCAGACGCGGTACGGCATTGCTACACAGTAGCAGCAACCCCTTGCCTTGTGGCAGCAGACGGTACAGTACGACTGGTAGCCGTCATCGTCATGTCCGAGGTGCTCCTGGCCACGTCGGCTGGGAGCGCCTGGGCAGACATGGGCGCAGGGACTAAATTTGGAGTGACTTGACCAGGTCATTCTCTTTAGTCCTGCAGTCAGTCCTATTGAACCGTCTTATGGTGAGCGGGCAGGCGATACGGACTGCTAGCAGTCGTACTGTACCATCTTCTGCCAGGCAGGCAAGAGATGAGGATTGCTAGTAGTCGTATTGTACCATCTTCTGCCAGGCAGGCAAGAGATGAGGATGGCTAGCAGTCGTACTGTACCATCTTCTGCCGAGCAGCCATGAGATGTGGATGGCATGCAGTCCTTCTGCACCGTCTGCTGCCAGCCAAAGATGTAAAAGATAGATGGAGTGGGTCAAAACAAGAAATAGACCAGATTTGTTTTGTACTCATTTGCCTCCTCCCCTGTCTAGGGGACTCATTCCTCTAGGTCACACTGCAGTCACTCACAGAGAAGGTGCAGCGAGGTAAATCTAGCCATGTATCAATCAGAGGCCAGGCTAACCTCCTTGTTCCAATAAGAACGATAACTTAGGTGCACCATTTCTTATTGGAACCCTCCGTGAAGTCCTGCCTGAAATACCCCTTGATGTACAGGCACCCCCTTTGTTGATTTTAGCTCCCTGAAGCCAACCCTGTAAGCCGTGTCGTCAGTCGCCCCTCTCTCCGTCAGAGCAACGGCAGACAATCGTTCCGCGCCTTTTTTCTGTGCGGACGCCATACCAAGGCAAGCATGGAGGCCGCTCAGCTCACTTTGGCAATTAGGAGCACATTAAACACCACACGCATTATCCAGCAGTATATGCAGCACCAGAACCTGGCAAAGCGATACCGGGCGAGGAGGCGACGTCAGCGCGGTCACGTGAGTGATCAGGACATGGACACAGATTTCTCTGAAAGCATGGGCCCTGCCAATGCATGCATCATGGTGCTAATGGGGCAGGTTCATGCTGTGGAACGCCGATTCTGGGCTCGGGAAACAAGCACAGACTGGTGGGACCGCATAGTGTTGCAGGTCTGGGACGATTCCCAGTGGCTGCGAAACTTTCGCATGTGTAAGGGCACTTTCATGGAACTTTGTGACTTGCTTTCCCCTGCCCTGAGGCGCATGAATACCAAGATGAGAGCAGCCCTCACAGTTGATAAGCGAGTGGCGATAGCCCTGTGGAAGCTTGCAACGCCAGACAGCTACCGGTCAGTTGGGATTCAATTTGGAGTGGGCAAATCTACTGTGGGGGCTGCTGTGATGCAAGTAGCCCACGCAATCAAAGATTTGCTGATATCAAGGGTAGTGACCCTGGGAAATGTGCAGGTCATAGTGGATGGCTTTGCTGCAATGGGATTCCCTAACTGTGGTGGGGCTATAGACGGAACCCATGTCCCTATCTTGGCACCGGAGCACCAAGCTGCCGAGTACATAAACCGCAAGGGGTACTTTTCGATAGTGCTGCAAGCTCTGGTGGATCACAAGGGACGTTTCACCAACATCAACGTGGGATGGCCGGGAAAGGTGCATGATGCTCGCATCTTCAGGAACTCTGGTCTGTTTCAAAAGCTGCAGGAAGGGACTTTATTCCCAGACCAGAAAATAACTGTTGGGGATGTTGAAATGCCTATATGTATCCTTGGGGACCCAGCCTACCCCTTAATGCCATGGCTCATGAAGCCGTACACAGGCAGCCTGGACAGTAGTCAGGAGCTGTTCAACTACAGGCTGAGCAAGGGCAGAATGGTGGTAGAATGTGCATTTGCACATTTAAAGGCGCGCTGGCGCAGTTTACTGACTCGCTTAGACCTCAGCGAAACCAATATTCCCACTGTTATTACTGCTTGCTGTGTGCTCCACAATATCTGTGAGAGTAAGGGGGAGACATTTATGGCGGGGTGGGAGGTTGAGGCAAATCGCCTGGCTGCTGGTTACGTGCAGCCAGACACCAGGGTGGTTAGAAGAGCACAGGAGGGCGCGGTACGCATCAGAGAAGCTTTGAAAACCAGTTTCATGACTGGCCAGGCTACGGTGTGAAAGTTCTGTTTGTTTCTCCTTGATGAAACCCCCCGCCCCTTGGTTCACTCTACTTCCCTGTAAGCTAACCACCCGCCCCTCCTCCCTTCAATCACCACTTGCAGAGGCAATAAAGTCATTGTTGCTTCACATTCATGCATTCTTTATTCATTCATCACACAAATAGGGGGATGACTACCAAGGTAGCCAAGGAGGGGTGGTGGAGGAGGGAAGGAAAATGCCACACAGCACTTTAAGCACAGCACTTTAAAAGTTTACAACTTTAAAATTTATTGAATGACAGCCTTCTTTTTTTTGGGCAATCCTCTGTGGTGGAGTGGCTGGTTGGCCGGAGGCCCCCCCACCGCGTTCTTGGGTGTCTGGGTGTGGAGGCTATGGAACTTGGGGAGGAGGGCGGTTGGTTACAGAGGGGCTGCAGTGGCAGTCTATGCTCCAGCTGCCTTTGCTGCAGCTCAACCATACACTGGAGCATACTGGTTTGGTCCTGCAGCAGCCTCAACATTGAATCCTGCCTCCTCTCATCACGCTGCCGCCACATTTGAGCTTCAGCCCTGTCTTCAGCCCGCCACTTACTCTCTTCAGCCCTCCACTTACTCTCTTCAGCCCGCCACCTCTCCTCCCGGTCATTTTGTGCTTTCCTGCACTCTGATATTATTTGCCTCCACGCATTCGTCTGTGCTCTGTCAGTGTGGGAGGACAGCATGAGCTCAGAGAACATTTCATCGCGAGTGCGTTTTTTCTTTCTTTCTAAGCTTCACTAGCCTCTGGGAAGGAGAAGATCCTGTGATCATTGAAACACATGCAGCTGGTGGAGAAAAAAAAAGGGACAGCGGTATTTAAAAAGACACATTTTATAAAACAGTGGCTACACTCTTTCAGGGTAAACCTTGCTGTTAACATTACATACATAGCACATGTGCTTTCGTTACAAGGTCGCATTTTGCCTCCTCCCACCGCGTGACTACCCCCTCAACCTTCCCCCCTCCCTGTGGCTAACAGCGGGGAACATTTCTGTTTAGCCACAGGCAAACAGCCCAGCAGGAATGGGCTCCTCTGAGTGTCCCCTGAAGAAAAGCACTCTATTTCAACCAGGTGACCATGAATTATATCTCACTCTCCTGAGGATAACACAGAGAGATAAAGAACGGATGTTGTTTGAATGCCAGCAAACATACACTGCAATGCTTTGTTCTACAATGATTCCCGAGTACGTGTTACTGGCCTGGAGTGGTAAAGTGTCCTACCATGAAGGACGCAATAAGGCTGCCCTCCCCAGAAACCTTTTGCAAAGGCTTTAGGACTACATCTAGGAGAACCGCAAATGCCAGGGCAAAGTAATCCTTTCACATGCTTGCTTTTAAACCATGTATAGTATTTTAAAAGGTACACTCACCAGAGGTCCCTTCTCCGCCTGCTGGGTCCAGGAGGCAGCCTTGGGTGGGTTCGGGGGTACTGGCTCCAGGTCTAGGGTGAGAAACAGTTCCTGGCTGTCGGGAAAACCGGTTTCTCCGCTTGCTTGCTGTGAGCTATCTACAACCTCCTCCTCCTCATCATCTTCTTCGTCCCCAAAACCTGCTTCCGTATTGCCTCCATCTCCATTGAAGGAGTCAAACAACACGGCTGGGGTAGTGGTGGCTGAACCCCCTAAAATGGCATGCAGCTCATCATAGAAGCGGCATGTTTGGGGCTCTGACCCAGAGCGGCTGTTTGCCTCTCTGGTTTTCTGGTAGGCTTGCCTCAGCTCCTTCAGTTTCACGTGGCACTGCTTCGGGTCCCTGTTATGGCCTCTGTCCTTCATGCCCTGGGAGATTTTGACAAAGGTTTTGGCATTTCGAAAACTGGAACGGAGTTCTGATAGCACGGATTCCTCTCCCCAAACAGCGATCAGATCCCGTACCTCCCGTTCGGTCCATGCTGGAGCTCTTTTGCGATTCTGGGACTCCATCATGGTCACCTGTGCTGATGAGCTCTGCATGGTCACCTGCAGCTTGCCACGCTGGCCAAACAGGAAATGAGATTCAAAAGTTCGCGGTTCTTTTCCTGTCTACCTGGCCAGTGCATCTGAGTTGGGAGTACTGTCCAGAGCGGTCATAATGGAGCACTCTGGGATAGCTCCCGGAGGCCAATACCATCGAATTGTGTCCACAGTACCCCAAATTCGAGCCGGCAACGTCGATTTAAGCGCTAATCCACTTGTCAGGGGTGGAGTAAGGAAATCGATTTTAAGAGCCCTTTAAGTCGAAATAAAGGGCTTCATTGTGTGGACGGGTGCAGGTTTACATCGATTTAACGCTGCTAAATTCGACCTAAAGTCCTAGTGTAGACCAGGGCTTTGAGGGCCGAGAGCCACGCACACAAGACCTGTCTGCTAGGAATGTGGTAGAGCATTTCCTTTCTACGGGAAGGCTGGGACTAGTAATGGAGGAAGAAGAAGGATGTGGCTCCCATCCAGCTAAATAGAATATTCTGTGTAGCACATATGCCAAATCTACCTCAGCGTAGCCAAAATAGGATGGTAGTAGCAAGAGCCCTACCATAATCTTCTGCTGTCATAGTGTTGGCAGTTACCTTCAGTCAGTTACCCCATTAAGATAAATAAATGGGACAAAACACCTCTCTTAGAGCTACTGTTTCAGGTTGTCTGCAGACTCAGGCAGGCATCAATGCATTGCCTAGCCTGGGATGATATTTTGAAGCTTTTTCACAACCACAAGGGCAAGAAACAATTTTTTTTACATGAAAATTAAGATTCTGGTACCTCTTGACTTTTGAGGGTATAAGCTTCTGAATGTGCCTGCAGTGCTTCAGCCAGAGCTGGCTACGTGTGCAGATCAAAACACAAATGAGCTTAAATGTTCTAAAAATGTGATCATTTCCTTAACAATTTTACAGTGTGAAACTGAGGGATTTTTCAGTTTTAAGGGTCATGTGCGTGAATAATCATTCAAAATTTCTGAATTTTTTACTCGATCTTCAAATCAGAACTGTTCACATCTTCAGATTATAGTGGATTAATTTTGCATTTATAGATAGCGCATTGTAAAGAGGTTATCCAGGTTTTACAGATATTATCACTGGGGGAGCATAAAAGAAACCATCTAATTCGATCTGAAATTATGGCAGTTAAAAGGATTCAAAGATTCAGACAGTCAGTAATCAGCTAGTTAGAAACAGGCAGTGCAGAAAGCATCCCATCCCATAACCAGAAGGGTTTTCAAGTTCGTTAGTGCGCACGTGTATTGCTATTCACTGCAAATGGGGTGCAAGTTTAAAAAAAAAATCAGGAGCACTAGGTGAGGAAAACATAAGGGTTAGACCTTGTTACTGTAATGTACTATAATTAGACTGGCTAACTGGACTAGGGTACAACATTTAAATGATGATGCTGAGAATAAAATCTTTCACAGAATAGTGGAAATAAAGCAAAACACAGTTTAAAAACATCTGCTTTTAAGACAGTTTACAGTAGCAATCAGATACTGCATTTATGTAGAATCTTGTATCTCAAAAGATTTTACAAGAATGCATGGGTTAATCTTCTTAGCGCCCCTACAAGCGGTTGTATTCTGATGCAGGCAGGAGCCAAGTGTACAAAGAGGCAAACATGATTTATAAGTGCTTTATTACAGATCATTTGGAAGCAACACAGTCAGTCAGCACTCCTTCCAGGAGCAGTGAGGTACTTATTGGAATCTGTGCATCTTTTGAGCACTATCCTTCACTACTATAGTTTGGGCCAGATTCTAGTAGGTGTAAATGACCAAAGTTCTGTTGATGTCAATAAAAGTTTGTTCATTTTCAGCAGCTGAGGGTCTGGCCCCTTATTTGTACTTTTTATTTTAATGAAGATAATAGGGAAAATATATCAAACCTTCCCTGTGTTGCCAACTTGACACTAAATGTCCCTAATGATTAGTTATCAGCTTACACACTGTCATATTGTTCCTCTTAATCCCCAAAGAGCCTTTGCTGGGAGGGAACTACCTCTTCTTAAGTTTGTGTGCCTTACTTTTCCCATAAAAACAGGTCATCATGTTGGCCATTATTGCTATGTCCTTCAGTTGCTAGTGGATGATGTTGTATGTTATTTTTTTAATAATGTGCCTTAACAAAAGTTCTGTACTTATGGAATTTGCGATAGTGGAAGCTGATTACAAAATTTGAAAATCTGAACAGATTTTGAAAGAGAAAAAAAAAAGAAAAAATGTGCAAGCCAACTTCATCTGCTCTATTTCCTCTATAATTCTCTTACTGACAGTTAAGAGTATCAGATGTTCTGAAATCTCCTGTTTGATACTGGCTGATTGTTTCTCCCTGAAACCCAGGTGAAATTCAGGTCAGTCCATTTTACTCCACCTGGTTGCTCAGCTGGAAAAACAACTGAATGGTGCCTCAGATGGCTCAGATTGAGCCCCAAGTGACATTTTCAGCTTGAAAATAACACTCTTATTCAATTAGTCCAGTGTGTGTGTGGGGGGGAATGCAACTGCATTTAGTGAGCAAACCCTACAACTTGAGACTATTTTGTCAATTTCATGCAACTCAGACTTCTCCCTAAGGCCAACAAAATGGGCTTTGATTTGTTTTATTTTTCTAAAACAACACATGTATTTCTATTTGATACTTTAGTCAGTGGGCTTTTCTTTGCTGTATTGTTAACTCAAGGTACAACTTGGAATTTGCTCCTAACTTGATTACTGTCCGTACACAGTAATATCTAGCTCATGTTAATTGGTGCCGTAAACCCAAGCTAGCTGGACTGTTGTGGGGGGATGGCGGGCAGGTATAGACTGATGCTGAAGCTAGTAATAATGCAGTGATGGAGACCAGCTTGAATTACAACTCATCAACTGCTAGTCCCATCGCTCAGTTCTGCTAATCAAATCACTCTGTGTACCTCCAGTGTATTGCAATGTGATCACACTCACTAGAGCTAGGCTAACTTGAGTGTATTAACTTAACTGTTGCAGTGGAGACAAGCCCAAGGAAAGAGTAACTGGGAAATGGTGATCATGAAATAAAGCTTTAACTATATAAAAAGCATTGTTGTAAACTGAGAGATAGCATAGTCCAGTAGATAGGCCAGTGGACTGGAAGTCAGAAGATTTGAATTCTATTCCTGGCTTTTCCTGTTGTGGGATCTTGGGTAAGTCATCACCTTTCCGTGCCTCTGTTTAACTTCCCATCCTTTGTCTATTTAAGGGATGTCTAACTGAGGAGGATTCCAGAGTAGCTGTTGCAGATGAACTCCATATGTAGATGCTCTTATCTGGAAAAAGAGTGCCTTATTCTAAATTAGCTTATTCCACTTTGGATTTCTTTTAACACATCCTATCTCATTCCAGATTAGCTTCCATGTGTAGGCAAACTACTAGAGTGTAAAGGCTTTGGGGCAGGGATGTTCTCCTAGTGTGTGTTTGTACAGTTGCTTGAGGAATAGAATGCCAGTCTGCAATTTGGGCCTCTGGGCACTACTGTAAACAAGTGATGTCAATTTCACTGTAAGTAGTTGGAGCAACTGACTCATCAGTGTGACATTTTCTTGGGGTGCCCAGAACTATGGGTCACCTAGTTACCACTAAAAAGAAAAGGAGTACTTGTGGCACCTTAGAGACTAACAAATTTATTTGAGCATAAACTCCACTGTGCCTTTGCAACAGAGAGACTTTCTGGGGTTACACACTATATCAGTTCCCTGGCAGTTAGCCACCCAGACAATCTCATCCAAAGCTGTGCCAGCCTTTACTTTTCCTTGAAGATAACACTGAGTGCACCCCAGTTCCCGGGCCCTCTGGAAGAACATTCCTCTGGAGTATCTAGCTCTTGCCACTGGACACTTACAGAAATTACCAGTTTTGCTATTTCCAAAGAGACAGTGCACACACCAGCTTGTTTGATTCAACTACGAATTCAAGCTCTGCTGAATATTACAGATTGGAGATCTACTTATGATAAAACAAACAGAGAGATTTAAGTGATAATGAATAAGGATATGTTGACTAATAAAACTAAAGTATAACACGTTTCTAAGACACTAAACATAACTTTTGCAGGCTAAAATCTTTGTCTAAGATAAGCTTCTCAACTAAAGCAACCTCTCAGCATCTCCGGCCCCCAGGGGCCAGGATCCAGCTTTCATGGATGAAATAAACCTGTCCTTTTTTGCTCCTTCAGTGATGGACAAGAAATGTTTTTTTGCTTCTCCTTATATCCCGATCCTCCAACTGATAGAGAATCCTCTGTGATTTTAGTCTCTGTTGTCTTCCTATAAGGAATTTCACATTCCCTGTCAACCTGTTTTGGCTTTTACAATGTTTGATCTACATCAGAAACCTAGGCAGACAGGTAAATCAACATTCCTTTGTCTAGAACAACCTTGTTGATCAATCCTGCCTGGTTACATAATTTAAATATATTTAAATATTTTAGTACATACATACAA